CAAAAATTAACATGGCTTCAAATTGGTTTCTACAGTAAAGTATACCATTTTCATTCAAAATAGGAGTCGTTGAAAGGCAAAAACATGAAATAGTAATAAAATCACCAATAAAGAAGGTTGAAGATTTTACTCAGACAAACGGCATTTTCAAACTATGATGTTTACTCTAAATACTGTAGACTAGTTAACTTTGGATCAAACTGACACTAGTGATTTTAAAAAATAAAAACAAAGAAATGTACAATCTCCAATCAAACATGATAAATTTTATGCACTATTTTGACCATTTTAAAACTCAAAGAAAATCTAAAACAAAGAATTGGAAGACTACTGGAAAAGCCTTCATTCACATTACCGTTATCTTTGTAACTTCCACATAAATCTTTCTACATCATTACTGCTCAGAAGGATTTAAAATGTCTCATTAATCAACCCTGAAAGCTCTTCATAAGCAACCAATGTAATGCCCAAGCAATCAAGCCTACAAAAGGTAGTTGGGAAAAGATGTCCTTTACACAAGTCAAATACCATCATTCTTCCTGGCATCATTCCTATGTTTTCCTCCAATTTGCCACAGGCATTCCACTCAGGAAATAAAAGCAACATTGTATGCATTGTGCATTAATTTTTAAATGTTATTTTCTCAAGAGAACAATTTTATTTTTAAAACATACATTCAAAAACAGTCATCTTTCTGCATAGTAGGGGCCATCAGTCTCAAAAGATGAAACGATGTAGCAATGATGTAGGCTAAGACAAATTTGCTTAATTCTAAAAACATCCGCAGTTCAAGCTCACCAGATGCTCCCTGGAAACCCTATATAGGGTCGCTATGGATGAGAACCAACTCGATGACACTTAACAACAACACAACAAAAATGACTATCTCTAGTACTAAGGACAAGGAAACTCCTTTCCATAATATTTTATACTATGTTCCAAAAGCAAATATATTTGAATACAGGTAACATATTTCCCAGCTATTGAGCTCAGGAACACTACTGCAATTACTTATTTAAAATTGGCAAAAACACAATACCTTTTTTAAATTGGTCTTGGATAACCGTTATACAAGTGGGTTACCTCACTCAGTCCCTTCATACATAATTGTTTAACCTACATTCTAAAAACTTAGGGATGGATGGATGGGGACCCGAATATTTGATTCACTAAAAATCTAAAAATAAGCCATAAAGAAATTTTTAAAGAGGTCTATTCATTTGCTTACTCTAATTCAAGGAGTCACCTTTCACTTGTGTTTTTTCCACACACCTTTCTCCCTTTTACAACAAAAAGACAGCAACCAATTGTAAAACTCCTCCCTTCTCCCTTTCAACCTAGCTCACGTACAAAGGAGAGGATTTTCTCTATTGTGCAAATTCAGTCCCCACAGTAATTCTTGGTTAGCTAAAAATCTGATTCAGAAATAGCTCTCATCTAATTTTTCTAAACTCAGCATACTAGAGGCATAAAGATACCACATGAACACACAGATATTGCAAGAAGGTAAAATCAAAAATTTTAAATGCTCTGATTACGTTTTAAATCTTTAGACTTCCTTTGGTACTGAGGGAAGAAGCCAAATCAGCATCTTTCCCTCAATCTATTTTCCACAAAAATATCACTAATTAAAATAATATAATATTGACTCTAGCCTCTTTTCTCTCTAAAATGCCTCCAAGATGCTCTGTTCCAAAGCTGCCTGATTTTTCCCTAATCTAAACAGTTACTACAAAAGCCTAGTCACTGTTAACAGAACACTCATTTTGAAAACATTATGTATAATGTATTCCCAGTGTACACCTCTTAATCCTATAAAACAGTTATTAGTTAATGTTGTAATCAACTGGGAAAAGAGGAAAAGTTGGGACTTAAACCTTGGTTTTAATACAGGTATTGCATGTTTTTTCTCATTCTGATTTCTAGTACAACTACCTGTTTTTATCCCTTTTGATTAAATCATTCAGGTTTTGTTTTTCCTCCAGGTAGCATCACACATTCTTAATATATTCCACAATAGAGATAAAAGGCCTTGGATTTCTCCAAAAATGATGCACAGCTGGATCAGCAAGGACACTTCTTGTACACGTAGAAAAGTCTTCTGAAGGATAATCAAGAAACCAGAAAGAAATCTCCTGGTGGAAAGGAAAAATGGGAACTGAGAGACCCAGGGTCAGGGGCGGTGAGATTTCTCTGTAAACCTTTTTACATTCTATTAAAATAACAAAATCTGTTTAAACATGAAAACATTCGCCTTTTAAATAAAGGAGTTTCAGAGCAACATAGTCTGCTTAATTTTTAAATAACCTGCTTTAAAAAGAAGCATCTGCTTTTGCTCTAATAGGCAAGATACTTCTTTAAATGCAGCCATGAGCGATGTGCAAGCTAAGCCCTCTTTTAACACAGCAATGTTCTCTAGACTGCCGCTTTCCAAGGCAGCGCGCATCCTCCATCCCCTCCTCCTTCTGTGCATTCTGAGATCTGCTCTGCGATTCCCACATAAAGTGGGTCCTAGCCGCCATTTTAGAAAGTCATTCACACAAGACAGACCACAGCACCACCATCCACTTAAAAACCTCCCAAAACTTCCTTGAGCAATTTCCTCTTTCCTATCGCTAGTCACTCAACTTGCAGAAGGGTCAAGCTCCCCAAAGACAGACAATGCAATGCAATGTCTCTGGTATCTGCATAATGCAAAAAGACACATCTGGCCACATATCACTGAGCAAAGAGAATGCTGCAATGCACGTGTTTGCAGTTGGTGTATACGAATTTCCCACCCAGAGACCTACAGGTAAAGTCCACAAGGAGATAAAAGTGAGCGCCTCTAAGTGGTTTATCCCCTCCAATAATCTGCACCTAAATGGCTTTTCCACCAAAACACAGAAGATACTGGGGGTGGCGGGTAGGAGGGAGAAAGGGGTGGAGCAACGTCAGGATGAGAAAGTTCTCATCTGCTTCCCAATTCAACCCAATGTCTCCCCTTCATCATCCGGGACAGAGGCGAGTTTGCTCACTGCCTATCCCTCGCCTGGTTTCTCAGGCACAACGTAGTAAACACTGGGAGAGTCCCTGGAAGCGCACCTCCCCCAGCCCTGCCGAGGACAGCTTCAGCAGGTTATGAATGGTCTCACTATTCCCGGCTCCTTTTCACACGCGGACACGCGCAGACGCGCGCTCCAGCAGTGAAGATTTAATACCCCAGTAACAGCAACCACCAACAGAACCAATGATCCTCCATTTAAAAGGCAGACAGGAGTTCGGCTGCCGCCGCTTCCATTTCCTTATCCAAGCAGCTCAACAGAAAACGACGCAATCTATTTTTCCCATGGTGACTCACTAATAAAGACGCTCCATAATTTCCTTTACTCACTAAATAGTAAGAGGAATTAAGAGTACAGCAAGCCTAAAACCTTTCAGGTTCTTGAATATGGAGAGAAACAGTGATTTTAGAGGATCATAAAAATGTGTACGGTCCTTCTTGAATTACACTCAGTCTCAGCAAATCGTTATTGTACGCATCTTATTTTGAGACCTCCTATCAGTACCATTGGCGCTGTGGGTTAATGAGCCAGACTGCAAAGCTGTTTGAACTGCAAGGTTGGCGGTTCAAGCTCACCAGCTGCTCCTTGGAAACCCTATTCAGGGTCGCTATGGGTCGGAATGACTCGACGCCAATTAACAACAACAACATCAGTACCATTATGGTACACACACGTTTCACAAAGAAAACAAGAGCGCGGTGGTTCTAAGGGATAAACACTGGACTGCGAACTACAAGCTTGGCGGTTCAAGCCCACCAGATGCTCTCCGTTAGAAAGATGAGGCTTTCGGCTCCCGCAAAGATTTACAGCCTTGAAAACCTTAATACAGGGTCGCTATGAATCGGAACAGACTCGACGGCACTTAACAAAAGATGTATCAAGGGCGACCTTTAATCTTCGTGGGCAAATAAAATATTCATGCAGACAGCTCTACTTATCTTAAAAGCCTTCATTTGAAAAACATTTGATGAACAAATTATAAGGAAACTGCATTCTTTTAAAGGAGAGTATACAATGACAAAGCCAGCACATCTAGGAGGTAGGTGTCGCTTCAGAGCGCCTACTGGAGTGGGGTACCTTCCTATTTGAGGTTGATCTGCAAGCCTTTAGTTCCCACCAACCTTCCCCCTCAACCAGAGACCAGAAAGGGCTGGAGGAAGAAGGGCGAAGGAGGCGAAACAGGGCACCAATTGCTCTTCAGACATCATTCTCCACCCAGCCCCATCAAAAAAAAAAAAAATTTGTTTTTAATGCATTTGATATTTTATTTAGGTCTTAGGTCTGTAAGTCGTCCGTGTGAGGGGTCCCTAGCATCTGGCAGTGTCTTCCCAAATTAGAAATGTCCCTACAGTACCTACCCAGACTTTGGCTTTTTGTACCACCTTTTCTTCCGCACAGAAACCCCAGTCAGACATGTCCGTGCGGCCGGCTGCACCGAGCCGGAGTTGCTGCGGAGTTGGTGGGGCCGGGGCAGTAGGGGACACCGGGCGAGTCTGGAGGGTCGGGTTCCCAGGCTGGCCGCAGCCTGTCAGCGCAACTCGGTTCGGCCGCTTCGCCCGGCGGGTGCGGAGTGGCAGCTCGGACCAGGTGCGCAGGGAGACAGGACCCAGAGACCGTGAGCACCTCGACGGAGCAGACGGCGCGCAAGGACGCGACCCCGCCGGGGAGTAAGACTCCGACTGGCTTCTTGGCCAACCTGAAGGGAAGCCTCCGGCGCCTGCTTCGCGGAGGCCAAGCCACAGTCCCCTCCTTATTCGGAAGGGAAAGGGCGGCCCCGCTTCGCCAAGGTCCAACGCCGGGACCCGGCCAGGCAGCCCGCGCGCCCCCCGAAGGCGTCCGGGAGCCCGGGCCCGGGGTCCTAGTCCCCTGTTCCAAACACGGGGTGGGCCGGCAACAGGCCGGCGCGGGAAGCGGCAGTCGGAGGAGAGAGCGCGGCCCGGGCCTCGTGTCACTCACCGTTTGAAATGCTCGATGATCTTCTCTTCCCGCACATTCTCCGGTAAGTTGCCCACCCAGAGGTGCCTGGTTTCCCGGACCATGCTGGGCGATGTGCCGGCGAGCGCTGCTGCTGGGTCTCCCTCGCCGGTTTCGTACAAGCCCTTCAGCGCCGGTAGGCGGGCGCAGCGGCGGCGGCGGCGGCTGCGGCGGTGGCGTCGGCAGCGGCGGCGGCTCCTCCGGCTCCCCCCCGTGCAGAGACCATCCCTCTCCCCCAGGTTCTGACTCTCGGGCCTCGCAGCTCCGCTCTGCCGCCACCACACACCCGAAGCCGACCCTCGCGCTCCGGCAGCGCATGCGCCCGGGCGGCGGCGGGAGGGGGGAGCGCAGAGGAGGGGCGAGCGGGACCCGGGCGGCAGCGACTTCGGCGGAGCTGGCGCTGTGGCAGCCGGACGCTTCCCACCGGCGCGCGCGCGGCCCGCCTCCCGTCGCCTGGCCGCCACCCCCTCACCACGAGCGCGCGCGCGTCCGTCCGCCGAGGCCGAGACGCGGCGTTCCTCTCAGACGGCGCGCAGGCGCGCGGCAGGGCGGGGGCGGGCAGAACGCGAGGCGGGGACGGGACGCTCGGGCTCGGTCCCGGTGCGCAGCCGCGTGGGGCGGGCGCTCAGTCAGGCCGGGAGCGGCCGGCGCGGGGAGCCGAGAAATGCTATGGCCCTTTGCGCGCGAGTCCTAGATGCTAGGTTGGGGGAAGGAACGCGAGAAATGGGGTTGGCTTTGACCGGGCTCCTTTCCTAGTTGTGGCGAAGGCCTAGGAGAAGCCAAGACCTTTTCCGCTGCTCCACATCTTGCAGTGTCTGGCCGACTCCGGGCACCTGGATCCCTGCCTCCTTGGGAAAATGATCACAACAGACCGCCCTTCTCACGGCCCGACTAGGCCATGAGGGCTTCAGAAATTCCTCTCTCCCCAAAATCATTAACTTGTAAGGTTTTTGTTCTTGTGTGCCTTCGAGAAGGTTTCGACTAATGTTAAGTGCCGTCAGTGGGTTTCACTCAGACTCTGTATAGTTTCCGAGACTGGCTGGTGGATTTGAACTGCCAACCTATCGGTTAGCAATCCAGCACCTATCCTACAGGTCCACACCAGCAACTTTATTTTATATTTATTTTATATATAAAAGGTTTATGAAACCTTATGCAAGATATTCATTAGTATATGTTGTTGGGTGCCATCGAGTCGATAACGACTCAGCAACCTTATGCACAGCAGAACAAAACACATGTAAAAAAGAAATCATGCTCAGATGATTTCCCATAATTTAATGTCTTACTGAGATACTAGACCTCTGGTCTTCCCAAGCCTAAGGACTTCTGAAACCTACAGGTAAAACCCACAAAATCTAGCCAAATATATTCAATTGAGTCCAGAAAATTGTGAATTGTTTAGAACAACACATCCATTTTTTCCCCCTACTTTTTTAATGCACAGAAATACCAGCAATGGAGTGTTTCATGTATATGCAAGATCTTAACTATATGGCCCCATCCGTTATCCACATGGACAGGAGTACAAGTCAATTTATCATCAAACTACACTGTTCTGGAAAATACAGTAATCATAACCAATAATGATGTAGCACTAATATGTGAGGTCACCTGTGCAAGTCATTCTTGTTTTTTGTCCCACAAAGGCTAAAGCCCCAAGTTGATTTTTACCTTATACTCTATAACAAAATATCATCTGGTGGTGCCATGGGTTAAGCATCGTTCTTTGAACCTCAAGGATTGGCAGTTCAAACCCACCAGTTGCTATTCAGGAGATCCATAAAGATTGTCTACTCCCATAAAGACTTATGGTGCCAGAATCCCTGAGGAGGGTTACTATGAGTTAGAATCAACTTGATGGCAGTTGTTGCTAAGTGCTGCGGAGTTCCAACACATAATGATCCTACAGAGGGTACCTGAGGCTATAAATCTTTGAGGGAGCAGAAAGCCTCATCTGTCACCCATAGAGTGCTGGTGGGCTGGAACTGTCAACCTTGTGGTTAGCAGTCTAGTGCTTAACCTACAGAGCCACAGTGCTCCCCGATGGCAGTGGGTTTAGTTTTTTTGGTTTATAGTGGAACAAAAAGAGCGCTGGTGGTGAGGTGGTTAAAGCATTCCCCTGCTACTAACCAAAAGGTTGGTAGTTGTAAACCACCAGAGCATCAGAAGCTCCCAGCAGCATAAAGATACAACGGTCTGCTTCCGTGAAGGTTTACAGCCTTGGAAACCCCACGGGGCAATTCTACTATGTCCTATCAGATAGATGTGAGTCAGAATTAACTGTACTGCAGTGGGTTTAGTTTGGTCTAGTCTAGTGTAAATTTCTTTATGATTGAGTCAGACAGAGAGTCATGCACTGCCCCCACATATGTGTCCATGGTCTCACCTCTCTGTAAAGCCTATTATACAAAAATTTCAAGGTACATACAGTGGTTCATAATAACAAATGGTGTCTACTTTGTGTTGTTCATCAAAACATTATTACTGTATTGTGTTAAAGATGTTTAAGTGTATCTGGAAATGTTCCTTTAATGTTTTTTATTCATAGAAAAGCACACTATATACTAAGACAAACATTTGACTAACTGACGTAGATATGAACCGTACACCTAACTGTTCTGAGTTATGTACAAATTTGACTTAAGGACGGATTTAGGAACCATATTCATTCATAATCCAGGAATTGCTTATAGTGTTTGCACAGTGTCCAAATCACATAACGTCCTATTTCACAGACTATATCATGGACGTTAAGTAACGCATAACTATTTTGCTTACTAATCCATGCTGTAAACTTGATCTTAGCAGATATGATCAACTGAGATAAACTCCTCTCTATCAGGACTTTCAAAAGACCAAGCAAACCCATAGAGCGCTGGTGGTGATGTAGGTCAATATTGGACAACTAACTACAAGGTCGGCAGTTCAAACCCACCAGCTGCTGTGTGGGAGAAAGATCAGTCTTTCTATTCCTATAAAGATTTACAGCTTCTGAAACCCCATGCAAGGTCACTATGAGTTAGAACAGACTCAATGGTTCCTAGTAACAACAAGCAAAACCTTACATTATTACAGAGTTGCAACAATTAAACTGTACAAGAGCAAACCTTATCATCTTGGTTGCCATTTTTCCATGGAACTGATTTTGACATTTTAATTAGTTACTTCTAAAACATCCAGGTTCTGGGTTAGGTAAGTGAACTAGTTTACTTTCTTTGTTATTTTCATGACTTATGTTTTCATTTTCTATTTCAACTTTTGTTTTTTACCTTGACTATTTTGGGAACTTTAACAAGAGGAAGGAACAGAAAAAGGAGGTCTAGAAAAGTTGTAAAGAAAGCACCATCACAGCAGTGGCACACATTCATCATTTAGTTAGGGTATTTAGTTAGTGCCACTGTTGAGGTTGGTCTTGTCCTCATGCAAATCAGAGTCACTAAATTAAGTGGAAATGTTGGTTCTTGAAAATATAGAATTGATTCTTCAACTAAAAAGGAAAACACAAATCAAGTCATACAAATCAAGTCATAGTAAGATATAGGATTGGTTACTTACATTTGACCATTGTTATCATAACAGCTGTCTTATACTGAGTTCAAGACCAGCACACTATTACCTAAGCTAATGAACTATATATGCAATTCTAATTACGTAGCTACAGTTCATAAGCCTTAAACTGACATACATTTTTCCAAGACGCATGCATCTCAATACAAGCAATGACAGTTTGAGGCACATTTTTAAATATGATGTAAATTATTCATCTTAAACCTGATAGCTTCTGAATTAACTAAAACCTTTTGAGAAAGACTAAAGTGTATCCTGAATAACAGAAAAAGTTCAGCTCGACTGCATATAAAAGAGGAAAGAGACTGAGAAAATAATATCTTACCACTACAAAAATTAAGGGTGCATCTCACCTTAAATGCAACTTTCATTTAAAATCATGCTGAACAAATAGTCAAGGGCTGGGGAAAAAAATTAAAGGCCTTTTAGAAACAAAATGATTAGAAGAGAGACTAATGATTAAATATGATATTTTGTATCCATTTTTTACTCCCACAGAATAAAGGGATAAACAAAAGCAAAATAAAAGCCAATTAAGGTGCATTAATAACACTTTCTCCATAACACAAGAATGAGGAAGGACATTAAGTTTAAATAAAAAGTAGCATATTTGCCAACTAAATAAAATAAGGTATATATGTATCCTAGTTAGGTAATGGTTTGCGGTACAGTAGTCCTGCTTCCCCATATAAAAAACAGACTAGATGCTTAATTTTGATCATTTAGTTTGAAATGGATAAAGTAATTTTACATATACTTTGAAACCCCCAATCTTTTGAAGAGCAGAGGGAGTGAAGGAGAAATTGTGGCAGAAGAGTAGTGTGTTGCTGTTATGTGCCGTCGAGTCGGTTCCAACCCATAGCAACCCTGTATAGAGTTTCCAAGGAGCGGCTGGTGGTGTTGAACCACCTAGCTTGTGGTTCAAATCGACTTTGCAGTCCAGCACATTAGCCCACAGCACCACACCAGGACTCTGGTAGAAGATTACTAACAGAAATTATTTAAGCCAAGTTGTGTTAAAGCTTTCCAAGACCCCTAAAATCACAGAATGTGAAAAAGACCTGAAGCAAATGTCAAATTATCATGTTTTATTTTATGAGGAATCTATCAAAAATGTATAAATTGTCTCTGTTTAGCAATTTAAAGGCAAGCAATTTCCCCCCTTAATCATTTCTAAAATCTTATACTCTGATTCTCTTTAATGCTGCTGTTGTTGTTGTTGGTTGCCACAGAGTCAAATTTAACTCATGATAACCCCATGTGTACAGAGTTGCTGTGCTCCATAGAATTTTCAAGGCTATAGGAGAAGCAGTAACAACCACCTTACAGAAGCAGATGATCCGGCTTTATTTCAGACATGAAATGTTAGTGTCATCAAAATATCTATTTTCAAAAATAAGGGTACCAAAAATAGTATCACAACTAATGTTATAATTTTTTAAACATCTGGCATATACTTCTCAAAAGAGATTTCTTCATCAATAAAATGCTAACA